TAATCTTGAACTGGTGGGCTCAAATGATCCTCCAGCCTCAGCCTCCTGAACAGCTGGATCTACAGGTGTGTGCCACCATGCTCAATTCAACACTGAATTTTTATTGTTCACTGAATGGAATTCCCATGTTGCCTTATTTTCTCATCATTAAATATCTCTTTCTGTTTTGACATTAAGACTTAAAGCTGGGTGTGGTCGCATATATGTAATTCCAGCACTTGGGAGGCTGAGCAGGAGTATCTCAAGTTCAAGGCCAGTTTAGGTTCCACAGTAAGCTCAAAGCCAGCCCGGACTTTATACATATCAACCATTGTATTTTGGAAATAGCATCATTGTAAAAGATCAGATGAGATTGAAAAATGCCAATAATTTTAAAATTTGGTCATCTTTGGTAAAACATCATTCAGTATTACATAGTAAAATATAAGTATTTTAAAAATCAGAAATTTATGAAAATGTCAGCTACAGTAGGGTTATTTTATTGAGTGGGGGTAAGAATAGGAGTGGAAGGTTACTGTAACCATAAAACTATAAAGTATTTTAAGTAGTACATATGTAAATTTTAAAGTTTAGAACTAATCTTCTGACTCATTTAAGTGAAAATGGCAAATCCTTGTTTTTCTTTATAAATACACTCCATTTTTTTTTTTTGAGACAGGTTCTCGTCTCACAGTTAAGGCTGGCCTTGAACTCACTAAGTAACCCAAGCTGGCCTTGAATTTATGGCAATCCTTCCTTAGCCTCCTGAGTCCTAGTTTTATAGTATTGTACCACCATGCTTGGCCTACAGTCCATTTTTAAAAGCAGTTTTAGGTCTAGAGAATATTAGAAAGTATAGAGAGTTGCCATACAATCTCTCTACTCTCCAGCTTTCCCTATTATTATTATTATTATTTTTTGGTACTGGGGATCGAACTCGGGTCCTTGCACTTGCACAGCAGGTGGCAAAACCACTGAGCTAAATCCCTGGCCCTATCCCTATTATTAACATATTCCATTAATGTCGGACTGGTTTTTTTTTCACGATCAATGAACCAATACTGATACACTATTATGAGCTAAAAGTTCATAGTTAGCATTAGAATTTGCTCTGTTATAGTTTCATGGGCTTTGGAAATGTGTAATGTTATTTAGTCACCATTATAATATCATATAGAATAGGTTCACTGCCCTAAAGATTTAATGTGTTCCATCTATTTGTCCCTTCTCTGCTTCTAGAATTTTAACAACCACTCATTTTTTTGTAGTGCTGGTGATCAAACTCCAGACATTATGCATGTTAGGCTATGGAGCTACATCCCCAGCCCAATCACTTTTTACTAAGTGTATATAGTGTTGCCTTTTCCAGAATGTCATATAGTTGGAATCATACACTATGTACTCTCCTCAAATTGGCTTCTTTCACTTAGCAATATGTGTTTGTTTCCTCCAAATCTGTGGCTTGAAAGCTCATTTATTTATTTATTTGTTTATTTATTTTGTGTGTGTTAGGGATTGAACCCAGGGCTTCATATGCTTAGCACACATTCTACCATTGCGACACACCCTCTTCTGGCCCCCTCTTTGTGTGTGCATGTGCGTGTGGTACTAGGGAATGAACGTGGGGCAATTTACTACTGAACTACATCCTCAGCTCTTTTTATTTTGAGACAAGGTCTTGTTAATTTGTCTACACTGACCTCGAACTTGTGGTCCTCCTGTCTCAGCCTCTTGAGTAGCTGGGTTTATATGCATGCACCACCACACTTGAATTCCTTCATTTAATGTTGAATAGTATTACATTGGATGGGTGTAGCACACTGTTTATTCATTAGCCTATTGAAGGACATCTTTCTTGCTTCCATTTTGGCAATTGTGAATAAAGTGAATGTAAACATTTGTGTGAAGATTTTTGTGTGGATATACATTTTCAACTCATTTGGATAAATAGCTAGGAGCTTAATTGCTGATAGTATGTGTCTTAGTTTGTTTTGTATTGCTATAACAGGATACCTGAGAATGGTATTTTTTTTGATGGGTTTTTACTATTTTGCCTAGCTTGACTTTGAGCTTACTATATTCCAGCCTCAGTCTCCCAAGTAGTTGGCCCTAGAGGCAGGTGCCACTACACCCAGCTGACCTGGTAATTTATAAAGAGATTTATTTAGCTCACAGTTCTGGAGGCTCAAGAGATGGCACCAGCATCTGGTCAGCTTCTTGCTAGGGCCACATATTGTTCATATTTTGGCAAAGTAGTAGAAAGGGAAGTGGTGCGCGCAGAGAGAGCACCCATGTGGAAGAGAGACATGGGAGGCTGACCCGCTTTATAATAACCCAATTGCACAGTACCTTATCCAGTCCAGAGACCTCACTCTCTCCCACAAGATGGCATTAACCCCTTTCAAGGGCAGTATCCCCATGACCTAGATACCTCTCCCTTGGTACCTCTTCTCAATACCATTAAAATGCGGGCCACACTGCCAGTTCATGAACCTTTGGGGACAAACAATTTCCAAACCATAACAGTATGGTAAGGCTATGGTTACTTTGGAAGAAACTGCCAATCTGTTTTCTAATGTGGCAATCCCATTTTGTATTTCCACTATAATCATTTGAATATGCACTCCTTTAATTGTCAATACCCCCTTATTCAATAAATATTTATTTACTTATTGTGTGCCAAGCTTTCAGAGGCACTAGGTATAGGAGTAAACCAAATAAAGTTAATAATCCTGGAGTATACATTCTAGTTACAATGAACAAATAAAAACAAATAAATTCCTAACTAGCATCCTAGATAGTGAAAAGTACTATGGACAAAAAGCTGGAGTATGCAGAAAAATAGATGTGTATGTATATGGGGTTAATTTTAATTATGGTAATAAGGGAAGTTCTCCTTGAGTGGACAACCTATGAGCAAAGCACCTGAGGGAAAAACAAAACGATCTAAATAACTGGAGGAAGAGGGTCTTAACTAGAGGCAGCAAATGAAATGGTCCTGAGGCAGAAGTATGTCAGAAGCATTCAGGCAACTGCAAAAACAAAACAATAAAACCCCAAAATAAAAACAACAACAACAAAACTAGTGTGACTTCGGGGGAATAGGAGAGAGGACAAGATGGGGCAGGAGAGGATCATGTGAGGTCTGTCAGCTATTATAACTTTGGCTAACAGATAAAAAATTGTTGGAGATTACAAGGGTGAAAGCTGTTCGAATTAAAACAAGTCATTTATGTCAAACCTTAACAAAATGGGATTGGAAGATCATAAAGGAAGAGTTCTTAGGAACACATCATATTAAGAAAATTTCAAGGACTCTCTGAATATTTTAACCCTTGCATGGCTTTACCCAATGAATACTTCTAGAAAGTGTCTTTCTAGCAACTACTTGTTCTGTTACACTGACACCACCCTCCTTAATCTTTCTGATAATGTTTCAAAATGACTTATTAACCTTCTTCATTTTACCTTAAAAAAAAAAACAACTCATTTTTCTTTGTCTTAGATAGGGTTATGTGTCATAGTGTCATGAGATGGAATCTGAGCAGGTCCCTCAAAGAGGAGATGGGGACTTCAAGTCACTCCATACACATGGTAGGTTGTAGGTTTGCCTACTCAAGCCATAGAGAAAAACTGCAGGACAGTCACTGAGAGGCATACACAGGTTTAATCAGGCAGTTACAGAATTACAAATTCAGAGAAAAAAGAGCGAATGAGAAGGAGAGGTAGGGAGGAAGGGGTGAGCATTATGGTCTGGAATTGGGTCTATTTATGTGGTCTTGGGGGCTGTTCTCAAGACTGGTGATCTAGGAGGTGTATTCCTACTTTTAGCCTACCTGTTTTAGTGGGGTAAGTTCCTTTTTCTTTTCTTTTCTGGGTTTTTTTTTTTTTTGAGACAGTGTCTCACTATGTAGTTTAGGCTGGCCTCCAATGCTAAGAGATCCTCCTGCCTCAGCCTACCAAGTGCTGGGATCACAGGTGGGCGCCACCACTCGGGGCCTGGGCTAGATTTCAGTGCAAGCTATTTGAATGTTTTTGAAGTTCAGATATGCTACCAACTTAATTGAATCTCTAATATGGGGAAAAAAGCAGACTTAATTTACAGATAAAAGGCTTGGGCCTGATTTACAGGCTTATTGTATCTTTAAGACCCTTTGGATTTTGTAGGAACTGGTTGGAGGAGTTTCCCGGAAGGGAAAATGGCATTGTAATCTTTGAGTCTTGAAGCTGCAGTTTTAAATTCAATTTTAAAATTAAGATTTTTCCTTGTCTCCTGCCTATCCATCTCAGGAGCGTACACATACCAGATTTTCATATGTATAAAATGGTATAAAAGGGAACAACAGGGAATAAACTTTGCACAGAAAAATGTTATCAGGGCCTAAAACCCCAATAGAAGGCAAAATAACTTGTAAGTCTTGTAAGTTAACAGTATTTATAACGCCGGTAGAGGTTTGGGGCTGAAGCCTCTGACACAAAGAACTCGTCACGTGATGCTACAATAGGTGTAGCCCCTGCTCTAGCCATGAACAGCAGGAAAAAAAATTCTTGGGTTAATCACCTTTCCGGTAAGCACATAGCGCGTGTCAGGCCTGAGGAACTTTTTGCGGGGGTACTGGGGACTGAAGCCAGGACCTCGCGCAACCCAGGGACCTGACGTTTCTGACTTACAGCTACAGACTGACGAGGAAGCGCCGGGACTCCTCTCCAAAAGAAGGTGTGGAAGGACGTGCCGAAGGTGCACTCTGGTGGATTTAAAAAAAAAATGGACCGCCTGGTGGGCCGCCCTGCTCTGGATTTGGACACAAAAAATGTATAAATGTATAAAAATCTTATATGGCGGCCCTGAGCGACAGTCTTCCGTGCAAGTCACGGTAGGCCGACCAGGATTTTCAAAAGGCCCGCGCCCAGGTAGGATCAACAACACCTCTAGTCAGCAGGGCGTCCAGGCGTTGACAGCAGCTGCCATAAACGGCCGGAAGCGGGGGCAGCGGCGCCAGGAGATGACGCAACAGGGGTCGCGCCCAGGTGACGCTCGGCGTAGACGCCGCCGGGTTAAGCCCGTCACCTCCTTCCCTTCCCACTCTCGGGGACAGTGCTGAGGAGGAGTAGGCGCCATGGCGGTTCTGCTGGAGACCACTTTGGGCGATGTCGTCATCGACTTGTACACAGAGGAGCGGCCGCGAGGTGAGGCCCGCGCCCGGCTCGCTAGCCCGTTTCCTGTCTGGGCCGCCCTCGGCGGCACGGGGTGGAGCTTCGGGTACCCACCACGGGCCTGCTCTTAATGGGCCGTGGTTAGGAAAGTTTTTGTGCGATTTCGTTCCTGAGCCGCCCTTCTCCCCTATTTTGCGTTGACCAGTCGGATGGAGGGCGCTGCAGTCTTTAATTGCTTTAGGGGTGTGTGTCTGATGGGGGATGCATAAGCAATACCAGTAGCTTCTGCAGCTTTGCTGTGCTTTATTTACTTGTGACCACATCAAAAGCTACTCGGTGTGCAATCAGTTAAATATTGAAGAAAGCTGGTAAAGTGTGCTTTACTCAGCGAGTGTGAACATCTCATCCCGCCTGAAAGAGGAGGTGTCCGCAGGTGTGGACAGAGCCTGCAGAGCAGGAAGTTAAGCCCTGTTCCAGGCGTCTTGTCCTTCAAGGTCTTGTTTTACACTGTAGGAGTGGTCAAGGAGGGAGCCCGTTTTAGCTTTGTAAGTATTGTAGTAGAAGAGTGTGTGAATTGCTATGGAAACAAGAGGAGGACGTGGGGAGAAGGGAAGCAACCAGACTGTAGAACACGAGCTAGCTCTTTCAAAGATGAATGGGAATGAGGGCTTTATTAGCAGTTTACTTGGAATTTTTTGGAAACACTAGGTGGTGTGGCTGGAAGGAGTGGTAAGTGACGAATAGTCTTCTGTACCCTGCAGATGACCAACCTTTGAAGGATTAAAAGCAGGATTGAAGAATAGCGCTGCTTTGGGAAGCTAGTAGGCAGCAGGTAGAGAATGTTTCAGTTGGAGAACTAGGATTAGTTATGATAAGGATCCTGCCCCCATGGAATGGAGTCCATTAGAGAGGATGAAACAAGCTGTACTGTACAGTGAGTGGCACCTTTTCCCACAATACACTTTCTCCCACACTCAGCCAGTCTCCATTCCCCAAAAGCACTTCATGCTGTCAGATAATCTTTGCCATTCTTGGCTATTTCTCTGCGCCCCCCCCCCCCATTCCTTTCCATTCTTGTCCTGACCAACTTCCTACTTATTTTGGTCTCAGATCAAGCATGATCTCTCCTGGGCAATGGTCCCTTCAAGAGTTTGATCTATTTCTTTTCTCAGGTTGTTTCGGTGAATCACATAACATTTATTTAATTATAAAATTTACTTTTTGTCCTGGAATTACTTCCAAGTCTTGCCTCCTCACAAGAATGCACTTCATTGAGAGCAGGAGCTGTACCTTAATTATCCCTGTATCTTGAGTATTGAGTACAACCTCTGCCATTTTGAGGGCACATTCTAGAGGTTCTGATGCACAGAAAGATGTTATAGTAGGATTCTGTGCAAGTGATAGAAACCAGTCTCAAACTGGCTTAAGTAAAATAATTGCCTTATTTATTGAGGTAAACTTGGCTTTATGAGTAGCTCAATTTGGGGTTTAAAGAATGTTTTAGGAAATTGTATTTTTTTCTTTTGATTTTGCTTTCCTTTGAGCTCCTTTGACACTCTCTCCATGTAGAGTAGCACCTTCAAAAGTGAGTAGGCCTCCTGCCCCAGAGTTGTGAAAAACTAAAGGAGAGATAGGATTTGTCTCACCTAATACACAGTGACTTTACAGATAGCATGGACCACCAAAAACATGTCTACTGTATGTGTACATATTTGTAAGCATATGATTGGAAATTCCTTATATTTTTACCTACTTACCAATGAATAATAACATATCTAGACTTATTATCCTCTCCTTTTTAATTTTATTATAGAAAATAAAAAATATACTAAGGTAGAGAAAATCATGTACTGTAATTTTCACGTACCCACGACCATCTTCATTTTATGGTTGCCAACACATAGCCAGCCAGCCAGCCTGCTTGCCTGCCTGCCTGCCTGCCTGCCTGCCTTCCTTCCTTCCTTCCTTCCTTCCTTCCTTCCTTCCTTCCTTCTTTCCTTCCTTCCTTCCCTCCTTCCCTCCTTCCCTCCTTCCCTCCCTCCCTCCCTCCTTCCCTCCTTCCCTCCTTCCTTCCCTCCCTCCTTCCCTCCTTCCTACCTTCATCTCTTTCTTCCTTTCTTCTTCCCTTCCTTCCTTCTTCCTTCTCTCCCTCCATTCCTGTACTTATGCTGGGAATTGAACCCAGGATCTCAGACATTCTTGGTAGCTAGTTAGGCACTCTACCACTTGAGTTACACCCCTCATTCCTGGTTTCAATTATAATACCTTCACTACCACTGGATTTTTAGAATCTGAGATTAGTTCATTATGTTTCTATAAAAAATAATGACTTTAAAAAAAGAAACACAAAGGCTAGGGATGTAGCTCAGTGGTGCCGTGCCTGCCTGGCAAACACAAGACCTTGAGTTCGATCCCCCATACCAAAAAAACAAAAATGGAAACAAAAACACAAGTCATTATCACATCTTAAAAAATTAACAATATCCCAGGTACCAAAAAAAAATTAACAATAATTCCTTAGTATCATTTAAAAGTTCCTGTTATGGAACATAAACACTTAAAAGTTGGTAATTTAAATTATAATCTCATCGAGGTCTATATATTAGTGGACATTTCTCAAATCTCTCCTTTTTTGTCTTTCTGAGACAGGATCTCACTATGTAATTTGGGCTGCCCTTGAACTCACTAGCCCAAGATGGCCTTGAACTTGTGGCAGTCCTCCCGCTTCAGCCTCCCAAGTGCTGGGATTACAGTTGTGCACCACCATGCCTATCTTTTAATCTATACCCTCCTCCTCTTTTTTTCCTTAAAATTTTTTTGGGAAAGAATCCAGGTCTTTGCCTTCTAGAATTTCTCTGGTTTCAGATTTGGGTAATTATTTCCTTTTTATGTCTTTTAATATATTCCTTCAACCTCTCCATTTCCTAATAATTGCTACTTAGATTTAGAGCCTTGGTCAAAGTCAGGTTTAGTGTTTGGGGCAAGAATATTTCATATAAGGTAGGTACCCTTGTGGATGCTTCATGTTTAGGAGGCATTTGATGTCTGAGTTGCTGTGTTTGTCATGTTATAATTGGTAAGTGAGTTCAAGCCTTGTCTACTTTCTAAGTGCTTCCATCAGTTTTTCATCTACACATTTTGGCAGCCATTGATGAACACTGCCTAGGTCCAAAAAGGACTACTCCTGTTTAACAGTGAGCCCAGAAATATACTCAAGAAACATAACTAAAAGCTAGATATTCAAGACTTCACAACCGCTTGGCCCTCATCTTTCCAGCCTTTTCATTATTACTCTGTAATGCTAGAGTATTACAGAAAGACTGGTCTTTTGGACATCCCCTCCCTCAAAAAACACTTAAATTTTTACTTCCAGTTTTTTTCATAATAAATTTCCAACATGAAATCACTTTTTGCTTCCTCTCTATCCAATTGTTTAT